TCTTGCTTTGGCTATGTGGGCTCTTTTATGGTTCCATGTGAACTTTAGGATTATTTTTTCTAGCTCTGTGAAGAATGATGGTGGTATTTTGATGGGAACTGCATTGAATTTATAGCTTGCATTTGGCAGTATGGTCATTTTCATAATACTGATTCTACCCATTTGTGAGCATGGGATGTATTTCCATTTGTTTGTGTCATTGATGATTTCTTTCAGCAGTTTTGTAATTTTCCTTGTAGAGGTCTTTCACCTCCTTGGTTAGGTATATTCCTAAGTATTTTATTTTTTTGCAGCTATTGTAAAAGTAGTTGAGATCTTGATTTGATTCTCACTTGGTCACTGTTGGTGTATAGGAGAGCTACTGATTTGTGTACATTAATTTCATATCTGGGAACTTTGCTGAATTCTTTTATTAGTTCTAAGAGCTTTTTGGAGGAGTCTTTAGGGTTTTCTAGGTGTTTAATATATATTCTTAATATCTCACAGTCTACTTAGACTTAATGTTATAACACTTTCAGGTAATATGCAGAAATATTGCCATCATATGCATCCATTGACTGTTTCCCATACTTTATGCTATACTATCCTGTGTATCACGTTTCCATATACCATCAACTCTACTATGTAATGTTCCCATTGAACAGTCTCCTTCTTCTTTTTTTTTTTTAGTAGGGGGTAATCTTTTGTGCTTACCCAGACTTTTAAATTTCTGATGCCTTTTGAAGAGTAAAGTTTCCATCTGGTGCCATTTTCTTTCAGCCCAAAGAACTTCCTTTAGTTATTTAGCTTTGTTTCATAGTGCAGGTCTGCTGGCAATAAGTTCTTTAGTTTTCTTTTGTCTGAAGTGTCTTTACTTTGCTTTCATTCTTGAATGATATTTCACTGGATATAAAATTCTTAGTTGACAGGTTTTTTTTTTTTTTTCCTTTCAACACCTTGGATCTGTTTTTTTCCCTTCTGTCTTCTGATCTCCATAGTTTCTGATGAGACATGAAAATAATTTGAAATCTTGTTTCCTGTAGGTAGTGTATCATTTTTCTCTGGGTGCTTTTAAGATTTTCATTTTATCTTTGGTCTTCAGCCATTTGATTATGATATGCCTACCTATGATTTCTTTGGTGTACTTATTATTATTGGGGTTTTCTGAGAGTCTTGAATCTGTATCATTTACCTAATATAGAAAATTTTCAACCATTATATTTTCAAATATTATTTCTGCTCCATTTGTTTTCATTTCCCCTTCTGGCACTCTACATATATGTTAAATCTTTTGTTGTTATTCCACATTTCCCTAAGGCTTAAAATATTTTTCAGTCTTGTTTTTCTTTGATCTTCATATTGGATAATTTCTACTTATTTAAGTTTGCTTATTTTTGTCTTTGTCATTTTCATTCTACATCCAGTCTAGTAAATTCTTTATTTCATATATTGTATTTTTCAATTCTGAAATGTTACACTTGTTTGATTTTTATAATTTCTATTTTTCTATTGAGAATGTCAGTTGTTTCATTCATTGCAAGCATGTTTGCCTTTACATCTTTGAGCATAGTTTTAATAGCTGCTTTAAAATCCTTGTCTGCAAATTCCAGCATCCACGTCTTTTCTGTGTTGGTCTTCACTGGTTGTTTTTTCTCCTGAGAATGAGTAACATTTTCCTGGTTCCTTGTATGTTAAGTATTTTGGATGGTATCTTGAACATAGTGAGTCTTGTGTTGTGGAGATTCTGTAGTTTTACATTTTCCTGAAAAACATTGTCTATTGTGTTTGTTTCAGCAGGCATTTACTTTGTTGGACCCAAACAGCAAACTCTATGTTTCTAGTAGCAGCTATCCTATTACTTAGGATACTTTCAGTTGTACTAAGATCAATCTCAGTTGTGAATCAGAGGGTAAAATTCTCTGGTTTTTTTTTTTTTTTTTTTTTTTTTTTTTGAGTAAGGATCTTGCTCTGTCACCCATTTGGGAGTGCAGTGGCATAATCATGGCTCACTGCAACCTCAGACTCCTGGGCTCAAGCAATCCTCTTGTCTTAGCCTCCCAAGTAGCTGGTACTATGGGCATACATCACCATGCCTTGCTAATAAATTTTTTTTTGGTAGAGAAAGGATCTTGCTATGTTGCCCTGGTTGGTCTTGAACTCTTGGCCTCAAGTGATCCTCCCACCTAGGCCTCCAAAGTGTTGGGATTACAGATGTAAGCCACCATGCCCCTTCTCAAAAGTCTAAATAAAATACTAGCAAAATATATTCAGAAGTGAATTAAAGATAATTCATCATCAAACATAATGTATTCAGTTGCCATAATTCATTACATGAAGTGATTAATGGAGAAAAACCATATGATTGCACCTATAAATGCCAAGAAGATATTTGATATAATTTATCAGATATTTCTAGTTAAGAATCGATTAAAATATAAGTAGAAGGAAACAACTTAAAATACAAAATACATTTATCAGAGGTAATTATAAATATCATAATGAACCATGCAATACTGAAGCATTTCTATTAAAATGAGAAGCAAGATAGGCATACCTGTTATCACCATATTACTAAACATTGTTTTAGGAGCTGTAGTTATTGTAATAATGTAATAAGTCTTATGTATACAAGACATAGATAAAATTTAAAAATTATCTTGGCCAGGCGCGGTGGCTCAAGCCTGTAATCCCAGCACTTTGGAAGGCCGAGACGGGCGGATCACGAGGTCAGGAGATCGAGACCATCCTGGCTAACAAGGTGAAACCCCGTCTCTACTAAAAGAAATACAAAAAAACTAGCCGGGCGAGGTGGCGGGCACCTGTAGTCCCAGCTACTCGGGAGGCTGAGGCAGGAGAATGGCGTAAACCTGGGAGGCGGAGCTTGCAGTGAGCTGAGGTCCGGCCACTGCACTCCAACCTGGGCGACAGAGCGAGACTCCGTCTCAAAGAAAAAAAAAAAAATTATCTTTATTTGCATATGATATAATTACATGCCTAAAAATCTTTAAAACTCTAGTGAAATGCATTAGAATTGGTAAGATGGTTTATTAAGTTTCTAGATGAAAGAAAAATATACAAAAATTTGTAGGTTTTGTTTACATTAATAATTATAAGTAGTAAGTTAAAATGTAAGAAGGAAAAATATCCCATTCATGGTAGTGATAAAAATCTGTAAAATGTTTAGGAACAAATTTATCAAGAGACATACAGGTCCTCTATGAAGAACATAATTTAATTTTATTCTGAAGGACACTAACAAATACTGAAGAAATAAACCTTCAATGTCCCTGGATAGAATGACTTAACAACAAGGAATGAACATTTTCCAAATTAATAAATGTTTAGTGCTATTTCAAGCAAAATCCTAGTTTTTAATTTTTGGAACTAAGAAACATTATCTTAAAATGTCTTTGGAATAATAATTGTCTGAGAGGAGCCAAGAAAATTTTGAAACAGACTTTGTGTAACAACTTGACTTTCCAAATATTAAAATATGTCGTGTAAGCTACAATGATAAAAGCAGTATATATTTATATGTATATCTGAGAAATATATTTTTATTTATATACGTTTATATAAAATATTTTAATTTTTATTTTCATTGTATCAGTATTTATATGTAGGATAGTGTAGAAACAAATTTATGTATATATTATAATAAATGACAAATATATAATTTGGATTTAATGGGAAATGATGGTTTATATATAATATAGGCAAAATTTCCCATCTATCTGGCAGAAAACAAATGTAGACATTGACTTTACATCATATACTAAATTAAATTCCAGATGGATTAAAGCTCTAGATATTAATAACAATATAAAGTAATAGAAGGATATTTTAGAGAATAAAAGTTAGATAAATTTGCCCATAAAAAGACTAAAAATTAAAAAAAAATACAGCAAAATCTGTAAAAACTATAGACTGGAGAAAAACATTTGTAACATGACAAAGGGTTAAAATTTTTAATATAGAAAGATACTCTAAAAATTGATAGTAAAGGACAAACAACTGAAGTAAAAATGAGCAATGCATTCACTGCAATGTCTTCAAAAAGAAAAAAATCAAATAAAATGGGCAAAACATATAAAGACAATTATTTGAAGAGGAAATAGGAATAGCTAAAATTTTATAAAAAATATGCCCTTATTTCCAATAATGATAAATGTATAAATGAAACAAAAAATGAAATTCTATTTTCTCCTCAACATATTGGTAAACATTAGAAATAATAATCATCTTCACTGGTTATGAGGATAAAGGAGAAGGAGACATTTATATATCACTGTGGGGATATGAATTGCTGCCACCTTTTTGAAAACTAGTAAGAATAACCTCACCATTTTATTCAGTTTAGTATAGTGTTATTTGTAGTGGAAGAAACATACAAATATTCAGGATACCCATTGACTGGGGAATGTATGAATAAATTATTATATATTTAATATGAAGCAGATGTTAAAAATAATGATTCAATAGGATCGATCATATGAATTAACCTGGACAAATGTCCATGGTACATTGAGCTAAAAATGAAGTCATGCAGACTGTGTTCCCATTTCTGTTTCAAAATCACAAAAATAAAAGAAAAATGACAATCAATTCCCCCCTAAAATAGCCTTTATGTATTAGGATGCAGAGGTACCCTATCACATTTTTAATACTGATTATCACAGGAGGGTGGGATTGGAGGGTGTGTGTGGCTTAATTTGCACCCACGAACTTGCAGTGCCTCTGTAATAAAAATAACCTGATATTTTAAAAGGCTGGAACCCATTTTGTAAGTTGAAAGAGCATCAGGGAGGAGGTGTAGACCTAGTCCTTCCCCTAACCCACAGTGTGACATTTTCTGCCTTTATTTTCCTGTCTCTGAAGTGTGGGTGGTAATGACTGCCCTACCTACTTAGTGAAGATAAGATTAAGGATGAAGACAAATACAGTTTGAATAGTTAAGACATTGAAATGCAAGCTGTTGTCCTTAAGAAAATTCTCAGACACTCTCACTTTACATAATGCAGGTGACAAAATCACCCGAGGAAGCATCGTCCCTTCCCAATGGCGATGTAGTGGGAGAGGCACCGAGCACCACAGAGGTAAGCGCTGGTGTCTCGAGCCATCGTCCTCATGCTAGTTTCCTCAGAATGTCTACTTCGTCCTAATATGTCTCTCTCTCTATCCATCCACCCGTTAGTCTATTATCTATCCATCTATCTAATCAATCATCTATTGTCTGTATCTATCCATCCATATTAGTCTGTTTTCATACCGCCATAAAGAACTGCCCAAGACTGGGTAATTTATAAAGGAAAGAGGTTTAATTGACTCACAGATCAGCGTGGCTGGGGAAGCCTCAGGAAACTTACCATCATGGCAGAAGGTGAAGGGGAAGCAAGGCACCTTCTTCACAAGGCAGCAGGAAGGAGAAGTGCTGAACAAAGAGGGAAGAACCCCTTATGAAACCATCAGATCTCGTGAGAACTCACTCACGATCACGAGGACAGCATGGGGGAAACGGCCCCATGATTCAATTATTTCCATCTGGTCTCTCTCTCGACATGTGGGGATTATTACCATTATGGGGATTATAATTCAAGATGAGATTTGAGTGGGGACACAAAGCCTAACCGTATTATCATCCATCTATCTATCTATCTATCTATCTATCTATCTATCTATCTATCTATCTAT